GAGATGCTGTCAGAATACTTGGACTGCAACCAGGATTAAGAGTGCCTCTGTGCATGGACCCTTAATTTCATTTCACTGCTAATTTCAACACCCGCGTGCCCCAACACATAGATTCAGATGCGCGGTGGACGTGGCTTTATTACGCAGACAGGTGGGTCAGGAGCAGGGACCCGAGGGGAGGCAGGAGGACAGGGAGGGCGTAGGCGTCGGCACGAGACTGAAGAGTGCTCGGCGGCCAGTGGAAGGTGAGGGCGGTGGGCCAGCCTGCAGGGAGCTGAGTGCTGCCTGGCGATGCTCTCGGGACACGTCCCCGCGCAGGTCCAAGAGGGCGGAGACATGATCCTCGCTGCAGGAATACCACCACCACGCCTGTCAGACCCGCCCTTGCCCTCCCGGGCTCCTCCTCCCCTGTCCCCTTCTTCGCACCTCACGTCGGGAAATTTTTGCCTCAGGCCTGCCACCTCGAGGCCAAGCAGCGTGGGGTCGTGGAGGTTGAGCAGTTCCCTCAGCGCGAGCAGCACCGGCGCGCAGTGAGCGCTCTCCTCCAGGCCCTAAACACATTGGGACAGGGTTTCCCAGCCGGCTCTCGGCTCCCACCCGACTACTGAGATTCTCGACTGTCCGCTTTCCCAACGAGCTCTCACCAAACCCAGGAAAAGCTCCTTAAGTTGGGTAGCGTCGTGCTGAAGGCGCTCAGCCGCTTGGGTACGCTCGTCTGCACTGCGGCACACTAGGCGGCCCTGCATCAGCGCACGTAGGTATTGCAACACCACGGTTCGTTCCGCCTCCGCCAGCAGCAGCTGCAGGACAGGTAACCAGCTTGAGTTAGCAGTGCCCCATTAGCAGTGCCCCTTCCCCAGCCTTCCTCTCCCTGCTCCACCTGAACAGCAGGCTTCCGCACACGCCAGAAATCCTGGCAGAAGTGCGACGTCTGCTCACACACACCGTCCAGCAACTCAGAACTCAATAGCCACCGGCGCGAGGGCAGAGATGCGAACAGGGGCTAGGAAAAGCATGGCAGAGACAGGCTAGAGAAAAGATCCAGATCCCGCAGAGACCACCATAAATATACCGTGTCTCTTCCTTCCACTCCCATGCTGACTGGAATGGAAGCCTCACCTGGAGTTCAACCTGCAGTGCTTCCAATACCAGACGACAGAGCCTCCTCTGTACGTCGTCCAGCGAGGCCTCTACTGGAGCCAAGACCCCTGAAGCTTCCCCGTCGGGCAGCAGGACAGATAACGAAGAGCTGAACCAACCAAAAGTACTACTACTTCAGGACCAAGGCTAAGGCTCGCAGGGTCCTTAAGGAGTCATCCATTCTGGCGCCACCTTGTGGTGCAAAGTGCGGAGCGGGGGCGGGAAGGGCGGCTCTGAGCTTAGGAAGGTCTCAGGTATTCTGAAAGGCTAGGAAGGGCTTGCTCAGAGGACTTGCCTCTAATGTAATCTTGAGTTAAGTCATTCTTCCTGTTATTTTCTTTCCTCATCGGTAAGGGAGGAAACAAAAGGGAGTAAAAAGCATCAGCTTGTATGTCTGTCTGTCCTTGTGCCTTCCACAAGAGCATAATACTCAAGAAGATAGCCAGGCCTGGTGGAGGCTAAAGAAGGAAGATTGCTACCAGTCTGAGGCCAGCCTGGACCACAGAGTGAAACTTTTGACTCAAAGCAAGAGGAATGGGAGGAAAATTTTCTTGTTCATAGCTGTAACTTCAGACGTTATCTGATATTAAAGCCTTGATAAATATTTGCTGAAAGAATGTGGTAGATATTCACATCTTTAACTTATATGATTCTCAGACTATTCTACTGTTACCCAAGTAATACTAACAAGAAAAGTTGCACATGCCTTTAATCCTAGCACTTGGGGGGCAGAGGCAGATAGAGGCCAACTTCGTCTACAGAGCCAGTTCCAGGACAGGCTCCAAAGCTACACAGAGAAACCCTGTCTCAACAACAACAACAGAAAGTAATTAGAGCTAGTATTGGAACCCAATCTTTGGGAGCCCAAAGTGGTTGTAATGTGGGTGGCATCCATGCATTTTAGGAACTCAGAGGCGTGTTAGTGAAAGTGCAGTACCTCAGTGCTGACTGGTGGTTGAAGGCAGCCAGTAGGTAGGGCACATAGTGAGGGGCTTCTCCCCTCAGATGATCTCGAGAGAACTGGATCAGAGCATCACTGAAGCTGTAGTGGACAGAGGGGACTCAGATTTGCTGCTACTCTGGCACCCCCACAACTGCAGCCCCACTTTCAAGTCCTTGTTTAAAGGAACCCCTCCCCACTGGTGTGGGCTTTCCCTATTCATTCAGAGCCCTTTGCTGTCGGGGATTGTGATTGGGCCCCTGCTTGGCAAACCTCCTCAAGAATGTGCCCAGTTCTGACAGTGCCATGTCATGCACCCGCCGATGCAGTGAGTCACTGATCAGGCTGGTCACTTGAATGTTCTCAGCCAGGATCTACAGGCAGGGAGGGGCAGCCTTTAGAAATCCCCTAACCCTGCCCACCTCCCTTTCCTTGTGGGAGCTGCCCACTTGCCTTGGGTACTTCTCACCCACCTGCAGTACAATGGCTGGCATTGGTGAATGGTAGAAACCAGATGGGTCTGTGTTGGGCTCCTGCTCCCTGCTCCACTCAGCTACCTCCCCATCTAGTGCCTTCTGCAGCCACTGAGCCACACTTCCCTGGGAAGAAAGGATAAGGAGCAGCAAGACATTCAACTAGGCAAAGGTCACAGCGATGAGTAGAGCACCTCTGTCCTCTGCCCTAACTAGTCACCTGGACTTGAGTCACAAATGCTGCCTCCAGCTGCTCAATGTTCTCTGAGGTCAGGAGGGGCTCTAGCTGGGACACATCAGCCTCAGGTCCCAGTTCCAAGTTTCCCATCATTTCCTTCCTAGAGATGGATAGCAGGATGTCATTCTGAGCCTCTAATCTTCCCACTTCCCACTTCTCCAAGAATACTCACCCCATGTACACATGCAACACCCAGTGCAGCAAGGCAAAGGTGTCAGCAGCTCCCAGCTCAGGCCCTGAGAGGAGTTGCTGCACACTGCGGCGCAGGCCACTGTGCAGGGTGTGGGCCCATAGCTGCACCACATTGTAGTTTGGTGGGCAGCAGGGCGCCACTAATGCCTCAGCTGTTGCCAACTCAGCAGGCAGAGCTACTTGCAGAGCCTCAAGCCACCCTGCTAGGGCCCCTGGCTCAGGCAGCACAGGTGACGCAAAATGGACCCGCTCCAGGCCCTCCTGTAGTGCCCGAAGACATCGCTGCCGCCAGTCTCGGGGCGCCTGCCCCAGGATTGTACGCTCAGTCTCCACCTCTGCCACACGAACAGCAGCTACCAGCAGGGCTGGATTCTCACGTGCTAGTTGCCCTGCAGCCCCTGCAGCTGTCTCCACAGCTTGGCCCAGTGCCTCAGCCAGAAGGCCCAGCCCCTGGAAGATCGGCAACTCCAGCCCTCCCAGGGGTGTCCATGTCTCCTCTTGCAGTTGCTCGAGCTCCCGTAGGCTCACATATGCCTCCAAGAATCGCTGAGCATCAATCAGGGTCTGTGTGTGGGCCACTGCCGCTGGCACTAGTGAAGAAAGGAGGTGGCTTGAGGTCTCAGTCTTCCCACCTGTGCTGTTACTTCAGCAAGGGGTACTGAGGTCCTGAGACTGGTATGATGTACTAAATATTTAGTAATAAGCACAGTAGAGCATTGGTTAATCTGAACTCTAGAGCTGGGCCATATGTCAACCCCTGAGCCAATAAAATGTGAAATCAAGACTGCTGGGGAGGTGTGTGGGAGGCTAGAGAGATGGCTCAGTGGCTAGGAGCACTGGCTGCTTTTTTGCATAGAACATGGATTTGATTCCAAGCACCCATGTGACAACTCGAAACTGCCTATAACTCCAGTTCCAGGGGATCTAAGTCCTCTTCTGACCCCTGCATGTACCAGGCTCTCAAACATACACTTAAAATAAAAATCTTTGAAAAGAATGTTAGAGGGCAGACAAAATAAATGGGAAACCATGCTGGTTGCTACTCAGCCACCTTGTTTGGGAAATATTTACAAACATAGCTGCATATATAAATTTATGTGTATACATACAAATGTTGTGTATACATGGATGAAAGTATTCTTGAACTTTGTGTGTGTGTGTGTGTGTGTGTGTGTGTGTGTGTGTGATTTGGGGGGATGCCTGGGATTGAATTTAGGGTCCTGCACATACTAAGCACATGCTCTACCACTGAGCTACAGCCAAAGCCCTTTCTTTCAATGTGTTAACTGCTGTGCTCACAGCCACATAATGGAATGTCCATGTTGACTCTAACATCCTAAGCTTGAGAACCCCAGAAGGAGCTGATTGTGTACCCTATTTCATATATTCTGGGAAGCTGAGATTACTCCCTGGAATGTTCCTGGTGCACCTCTCCATGTAATCACTTTCCTAGTGTCCCAACTGCTGATCAGCAAGGGTATTTGTAAACTATTAGAAGCTAAGCCCAGGGACACTGCCCTACACACACACACACACCCCACACCTACTCACCTGCTTGTAGTCTTGGCAACAACTGAGTCAGGACCTGAAGTTGCTTGTGCTGGACAACACATTCCCTTAGGGATGCCAGGGTTTGTGAGGTTTGAGACAAACCCTGAAGTAAGTGATGGGCCTGGCTTAGGGCTTCACGTGTTCCCTGCACAGCCTCAAGGGCTCGGGCCAATTGCCACACACCAGTCTGCACACCTTCCAGGTACGACTGCACCACTGACTGTGGAGAGACTTAGTTTGTAGGACCTGGCCAGCCCTACAGCCCACTCCAACACTACTGCTCCCCTGTCCTATACCCACCTTAATTCGTGCTTCCAAGAAATAGTTACGCTGCACTTCCCGGCTTCGGTACTGGCCCAGCCTGGCCAGCTGCTCTGGCCGGTAGAAGATGCCCGAGGCCCACTTGAGTGCTGCACCCCGAGCCAGCTGTTCTGCCCTCTCCTGCTCTGGCCACTCAGACCCTGGACAGGAAGAGCCTAGGCAGTCATGCCAGTCAGGGAGGGCCTGTGGCTAACAAACCTGATGCCCTTCTGTTTCCTCAGTCAATCAGCAGGATAGCCCACTCCTCACTCTCCGATAGAGTTCTAGTCAGACCTAGCAGGAAAACCCAACCCCACCACTACTTCCATTTTTCTTGCCATCATCCTTCCCCCAGCCCAGCTAGCAAGACTCATACCAGGAAGAAGTGTGGGCTGTATTTTGTCCTTGGCTGCTGAGTCCATGGTCTGCCTTAGGAGCTGGAGATATGTGGTAGGAATGAGGTGAGTGCCTGGAGTAGATCAGGCAGAGTGAATGTTCCTTTGGCCCCTCTGAGAAAGAGGAGCGAGGTTCTTGCCTAGCCCCTTTAGGAAATAAGAGAAAGGAAGGTATGGTAGAAGGGGGATACCTGGGAGTTCTTGGCTTTCTGGGGTCCTGCGTTGTGCCTCTGCAGATATCAAGTGTCAGAGTATCCAAATAGTCCTAACACGCTAGCTGCAAAGTCCCTTTTCTGTTCTGTAACGCCCAGGAAATTTGGTACAGAACTTACCAGATCTGACCGGTGTCCAGTTCTCCCTCCTCCACAAACAGCCTTGGCCTTGAGAATGGCCTTCTTGCTCCTGCAGAGCTGGGCACACCCTCACTGTTCACAGGACCTGAGTGACTCCAGCTCCTCTGGCACCAGCAGCCAAATTCCTCTCCCCAAGGAAGCCTTTCTTCCTAGCCCAGAAGCCCCTTCTTCTCTCCAAGGCCCCTCCTTTTCCAAGGCAGAAAGGAAGGAAGTCGAGTCTCTGGCACTTTATTCCCAACAGGAAAAGCATCTGCAATGAGGTGGGGAGAGCTGGGAGCCACTTCCTGTGGGGTGGGGGCAGGCATGAACTCCCCGAGATCAAGTCTTGACCAGCCCACCTGGGACTTCTATGTGCTCAAGAAACACATATGCACATATCAAGCTGATTTGGCCTCAAACTGGTTTGAAAAATGACCCTCCCACGTGTTGATGTGGCTGCAAACAACATGACAGTATGAGAACCACTGATGGGCCCCCGAAGAAAAGGGTATGAACTTCTGTGGAGGAATGAGCACCTGTTGTGAGGAGAGAGTGTAGTGGGAGGAGGGGCAGTCAGGGATCGTAAAAGTTATATTGTTCCTGAAACTGACAGGGAGTGATGAACAACATTTGATGAGAATAGTACAGTAGCCACTTGGTGCACCACACAAATCCATCCACAGAATAGAGACTCATTTCCTAGCTGCCAGAAGTACAGGTTGTTGAGGGGTTGCGGCTAAAGTTCTAAGTCGGTTTTGATGTACAAAGGCCCAAGTAAGTACCCTTGCTGAGCACAAACACCTCAGAAAGACTATCCCAATTTCAGAGCTAGCACCATGGGCTCTCTTATAACTAGGTCTTGCCAATTCTGCTTGTTTTACTCTCTTACAAGTATGAATCCTCAATAGACTTGCTGAAGGGAGTTTGTTTTCTAGAGGAACTGACCAAAAGAAACAAGTAACAATAAGTGATAACAATGTTAAAAGTAAAAAGACTTGCAGCTGGTGAGATGGCTCAGAAGTTAAGGGCAGAGCTCTGCTCTTGCAGAGGACCAAGGTTCAATTCCCAGCACCTACATGGCAGCTCATAATTGCCTGTTAACTCCAGCTCCTGGAGATCTGACACCCTCTTCCAAAACACCCTGAGCACCTGCACACATGTGCACAAAAGCACACACAGACAGACACACACATATACAGATAATAAAAATAAATAAAACCTTTAAAAAGTAAGTGACACTTGCAAACACACAGGTCTTCCTATGTCAGGAGCTGTCTTAAAGGTGTTGCTTCTATTCACACATAGACAAATACCTTTGCATGGATTGAGAAGTGGTTGTAAAAAAGTCTCCTGGCTTCTGTGAACTGTATGTAGTAGCATGGAGACCAGAGGAAAATGATGCTGGAACTAAAAGAGGAGTAGAGACGGAAGAAGTGGGCAAGCTAGATATAGTTGTGCTTGATGGTTTTGGCAAGAAGTAAAGAAGGCATGGGTGATCTCAAAACACTAAGGAAGCCTTTAGGAGCAGTTTTAATTTAATAGGCTAAGCTTATCAGGCTGGATGGCTTCCATTGCCTAGATGGGGGATTCGGGCAGTTAGTAGTTTGGAGGCAAGTTAACAAGGAAGATTCGGGTGGTTCTTTCCCTCTTCTCTACCTCCAGGACTGCTCACTGACAACCCTACCCCTCTTCCTTCTATACAACTTGTCAGGTCTACTAGCTAGCTGTCCTAGGAATTGCTTTAGTCTTCTTTGCTAAAGGTACATTTGCTGATGGTCCCCAAAATTTTACGTCCAGATCTTCAAACAGGAATTGCACCAGATACCCTGGGAGGGCATGAGACGGAAGCGGAAGTAGAGGTGATAGCGGCCCCCGGGCACTCCAAGCAGGCACGAGAAAAGCCTGGGACTTCTCACCACCAAGTTCGTGTCGCTTCTGCAGGAAGCCAAGGACGGTGTGCTTGACCTCAAGCTGGTGCGGCCCGGGCTGAGGGGCGACAGGGGAGATGGTGGACGAGGCCTGAACCAGTAGCGGGAACCACTGGGGCTATCCCAGTGGAACTATCCTCCAACAGCCGGCCCCCATCTGTGTGCTTTCTCACACGAGAGAGGCTGGAGGCTGTTTCCATTCACTCAAGCCACAGAGCGTGAGCTCTGTGTCTGAGTCGGGGCTGCAGGTGCTGGCCCTCGTGGCTAGCACAGGGAAACGAGCATTAGAATATCAGAACACAAGACTCTTCCCAACACACTGCTGGAGTGACTGCAAGGAACCCCTGGGATGGGACACAAGACTACCCCCATTCCAGACTGACGGTATCAGGGTGCACACTTAAGAGTGGGGTAGCATTCTCCATTCTCTTCTACTTGCCAGGCAGCCGACACTCTAGCTGTGCGTCAGAAACGGCGGATTTACGACATCACCAACGTGTTGGAAGGTATTGGTCTGATCGAGAAAAAGTCCAAGAACAGCATCCAGTGGAAGTGAGTAGGGGTGTCAGGGAGGGCAGGAGTGTCGGGTGTGTAGGAGAGAGCAGAGGTATGGGACCCACAGTTCTCAGCAGTCCCTCTCAGTTTCTCATTCCTCTGGCTCAGGGGTGTGGGGCCGGGTTGCAATACCCGGGAGATTGCCGACAAGCTGATTGAGCTCAAGGCAGAGATCGAGGAGCTGCAGCAGCGGGAGCAAGAACTTGACCAGCACAAGGTGTGGGTGCAGCAGAGCATCCGGAATGTCACAGAGGACGTCCAGAACAGCTGATATCCTCTGGCAGCCCCTGTCCTGGGGAGTAGACAAAGGGTCCTCAGCTGGTTTTGCTCTGTGGCGCTCAGGGCCCTGTCCCTTTTGGGAGGATGATCCCCTGGTCAGATTCAGAGTTGAGGCTCCCTTCTCTTCCAATCTTAGCCCATGATCCTTACCCACTTGGACCCCAGGTTCCAGAAATTCCTCTGAGGGCTTGTGTGTCAGACATCTGCTAAAACATGGGGTCTTCTGTGGTCTGCCATCTGGCACAGTAAGAAAGGCATCAGCTGTTCTCCTTAACCCCCACACCTTGGCCTATGTGACTCATGAAGACATCTGCAGGTGCTTTGCCGGTAAGCAGAGCCTGGGTAGGGGGGCAGGAGTGGGAGCTGAACTAAACCACAGAGCCCTAAGTGTCCATCAGGTTCAAGGAGAGTTTCCATCTCTGCTTAGCGAGAACCAGGCAGAGTCTCAGTTTGAAAGTCACTGGAACTCTGTAGAGACCAACAATACTGAGGGTACAAGGGTCCCACTGTGTCCCTAGGTTTCTGGGTTTGGTTCTTAGACATGATATAGGCACAGAGGAAAAAGGAGAATGTGTGTTTGTGCACAATCTTACATACTTGTATTCGGGGTCAGTGGTGTCCATTTCTGATCTGTGTATATAGGAGCTGTTACTTCTTATATTTCATCTTGTATCTTGGTCTTGGGAAAACTTGGTTAGGTCTGTTTCTAGGGATCAACCCCATTTGAGGAGTGAGGTGCCCATGGCCAGTGACATCACTCCAGAATGTGACTATACTTTAATCCCTGCACTTGGGAGGCAGAGAAGGGCAGATCTCTGAGTTTGAGGCCAGCCTGGTCTACACTGCAAGTTCCAGAACAGCCAGAGCTATTACATGAAGAAACTGTCTTGAACAAACAAACAAAAAAGACCCTGTCTCAAAGGAAGAAAAAGAAAGTGTGCTTGCACTGGATTTTCTGGTTACTGAGCATAAGTTTTTTTGGGGTGGAGAGTTTTAGCTCTGCCTACTGCTTTGGGATGGTAGAGGCTTAATATTCAGTTTTTTAGAGACTGTGGTCTTTTGTCTTGCCCCAGTGAACAGACACTTCCTTTCCTAGCTCAGATTGAGCTCTTGGGCCCTGATGCATTCTCCTTGTCATTCTAGGAGATACCCTGCTTGCCATCAGGGCCCCATCGGGCACCAGCCTAGAGGTGCCCATCCCAGAGGTAGGTGCTCAACCCTGGAAGGCGGTGCCAGCTAAGGGTGGATACTGGCTGTGGAGCTTGATAAGTTCTGGGTGGGGCAGGTAGGGGGAGGCCTGGAGTTTGGGGTTATCTAGTGGACTGGCAGATGAGGAATGGGATGACAGTCTGGCTCTCACCCAGAGTCAGGCAGGAGCCATGCCTGCTTGCAATTCTACTTGTCCCCCATCTTCTGCCCCCCCACCTCCAGGGTCTCAATGGTCAAAAGAAGTACCAGATTCACTTAAAGAGCATGAGTGGCCCCATCGAGGTGCTGCTAGTGAACAAGGAGGCATGGAGTTCACCACCTGTGGCTGTGCCTGTCCCTCCCCCTGAGGATCTGCTCCAGAGTCCACCTGCTGTTTCTACCCCTCCACCTCTGCCCAAGCCTGCCTTATCTCAACCCCAAGAAACCTCTCGTCCATGCAGTCCCCAGCTAACTACCCCTGCTCCTGTCCTTGGCAGCACTGAAGTCTCAGAGGCAGCAGGCCAGACAGCTGAGATTGCAGGTGAGACGCTATGGTAAGATGTGATGGGTTATAAGAAGGTGTCTGTTATAGAGTATTACACTAAGAATTGGAAAAGGCTGCTGGGTCCCCACCTAGCTTTCCTTGGTGTCACAGTGAATGTACCCTTTTAAATTACTTTTTTCTTTTATTTGTTTGTAAGGGGGAGGAATGCTACAACATACATGTGGAGGTCAGAAGAGGTCAGATGACAAATTTATGAGATTGGTTCTCTCCTTTAGTATGGGTTCTGGGGATCAAACTCAGGTTATCAGGTTCAGCCACAAGTGTCTTTACTCACTGAGCCCTCTCACTTGCCCTGAATATGCCCTTTCTAACAAGGAAGCTTTAACTATGAAAAGAGAATCACTACGGAAGTTTATCCCAAATTGGACAGTATGTAATGGATCCTGGCAACCAGGATCCCTCCTCCAGGACTTGTGCTCTATCTTCAGTGATCTTTTCTAGATTGCTCCTTGGTAACTAGTGGTGGCTGATTCTCCTTGAGTTTGGGTACCAGCATTGTGGTCATCCTGGCCATAGAATCTAGCCTAGCCAAGTTCTAGGATCCATTTCCTGACTCCATGTGATGGGCTTTGGGGATGTGATTGCAGTGAGTGGTGGCCCTGGAACTGAAAACAAGGATGGTGGTGAGCTCAGCTCACTCCCACTGGGCCTGACAGCACTGGACACTCGGCCTCTGCAGTCTTCTGCCCTCCTGGACAGCAGCAGCAGCAGCAGTAGCAGCAGTAGCAGCAGCAGCAGCAGCAGCAGCAGCAGTTCATCTGGACCCAATCCTTCTACCTCCTTCGAGCCCATCAAGGCAGACCCCACAGGTGGTGAGTACTTACTGAGCTACAGGGGCCAGCATGGAGTCAGCCCAGTGCTTTATCAAACACATAGTTAGAAAGTGCCTTTCCTACTAAGCCCTGTTCTCTGTCAGCCAGACAAGGGTGTCTAGTCTCTGGGTCAGTGCTGGTGCCTTTTGCCCCCTTCCTAAAACTTCAATCCCATCTGCCACCATTTGAAACATCACTGAGCCTCACTAATTGAGATTTGCTACTCTCTGTACTCACCTTACCATACTTGTATCCTTGCCATGTCTAGGTGCATGCAGCTCTTGGTGCAGTACTAGCCCGGCAGGCTTCCAAAGGGTATATATAGGTCTGGTGCTCTCTTGGTCCCTGCTGTTGTTCTTTCCTCCTTTGTCTTCACTCTGTTCTTGACTTTTCTACTTCACTGGTTTCACATTGGTACTTCCCTGGGGAGGGCTTCAGCTCTAGGGAGCTGATAATGGGTTCCTGCTCCCAGCCTCTACCTAGTCTAGATGTTTTACCCAGTCTCCACATCTCTGTCTGACATCCATGGTGGACACCTCATTGCTACATGTCTTCAACTGAATTTAACACCCTGCTCCCAGTTTGGCTTTCAAGTTCTGTGTGGACTCTTATTACTGGCCCTAGTCACCAGGCTTGAGACACCTCTATCACCTCAGTTCTCCACCCCTCTGCTGCCCACCTTACATTGGCTAACTAAAGTCTGTGAAGCATTTCTTCTTATCCCTCTTGCATCCTCAGCACTCCAGATAACTATGAGCCATCCTAATTCTAGATTGAAGCTCATCCTTTCCTTTAAAACTTTTGTGAGTGATTTCATACATTTTTACAATGTGGTTTTTTATTGTTGTCTTTTTGAGGCAGGGTCTCTATGTAGCTCTGGCTGTCCTGGAACTTACTACGTAGACCAGGCTGGCCTCTGCCTCCCCGGTGCTGGGATTAAAGGTGTGTCCCACCATACCCAACTCTAGTGTATTTGATCATTTACAACCCAAGTCTCCCCCTTCACCCTCCCAGCACTTCCTCTTCCATTTTCACCTCTCTTTTTATAACCCATTCATTCTAATTAGTGCTACATGTAAGCACAGATCCAAAGAAAAAGACTCCCCTTTCTCAGCTAGTGAGCTGGCTTGCTCTTATGTAGGTAACCATAGCTGCTTGTGAAATTGATTACATTGGCAATTGTATCCAAAAGACAGCATTTCACAACACTCTTCCCCATCCTATGGCTTGTAGATTCTTTCCATACCTTCTTCCCTGAGCCCTGGGCTGAGCACTCAACCTATATTCTTGGCACTTTGGTCAGCTATGAGTTTCTGTATTGACTCCTGTTGCCCATTTTCTCCGATCAGCATATAAACATAAAAATTTAGGAGATGGTTTGATGATAGACCTATTTAGCAAAGCAATAGGATTAAGTCCCCCTCCAGGGTCTATGATCTCCTCAGCCATGGGCCTTTGACAAGGTTTACAGTATCAGGCATGAATTACTTCCCATGGAACTGGCCTCAAATGTAAGCAAAAGGTGATTGGTAACCCCCATAACTATTGCCTGGTAGGTTGTTATGATACCATGCAGTTTCTATTGCCTGGTGAACCCATTAAAAGCATCCTTTTCTTTATTACTAATGAAATGGCCTTTCTGCAATGCAATCCTGACTGGTATTTCTCAGTTTGTATGTATGGTTGGGGATATTGCTCAGTGATAGAGTGCTTGTTAAGCATGTATGAAGACAATGAAGACAATATTTCAGTCACCAGCAACAAAACCAGTACTGGGGGGTTGATAGATTGTGCGAATGTGCTCTTCTATGTAGCTGGTTCTTTCCATACCTCTTAATATGGGCTCCAGGGATTGGTTAGAATGTCAGGCTTCAAGACAAGCACTTGCCCTCTCTCAGCAATCTCACTGGTCTCCCAAAATCTGAACTTTAAAAATTTTTTATTGGGGGCTGGAGAGATGGCTCAGTGGTTAAGAGCATTGCTTGTTCTTCCAAAGGTCCTGAGTTCAATACGCAGCAACCACATGGTGGCTCACAACCATCTGTAATGAAATTTGGTGCCCTCCTCTGACCTTCAGGCAACATGCAGGCAGAACACTATACACATAATAAACAAATTTTTAAAAATAATTTTTTTTTATTATGTGCTGGGCAGTAGTAATGCACATCTTTAATCCCAGCACTTGGGAGGCAGAGGCAGGTGGATCTTTTTGAATTTGAGGCCAGCCTGGTCTACAGAGCAAGTTCCAGGATAGCCGGGGCTACAGAAAGGAGCCCTGTCTTGAAAAACAAAAACAAAAAAATTGTGTGAGTGCCCTCAGAGGCCAAAAGAGGGCATTAGATCCCCTGGAACTGGAATTACAGGTGGTTGTGAGGTGCCTGGTGTGGGTGCTGGTAACCAAACTCAGGTCCTGAACTGGAAGAGAGGAAACACTCTTAACCACTAAGCCCTCTCTCCAGTCCTAAACCTGAACTTCTTAGCCCTGCATGTAACATCCATCAGGTTTCAGGTTTCTTTTTCTTTTGCTTCCCATGTGTGTCCTGCCAATCAGAGGTTTGTAGTAGGTTCATCACACTAGCACTATCCTCTGTCAAAGTGTTTTCTTGTCCCAGCCCAGAGCAAGTACCCAGGAATGGTTGGGATGGATAGGGCATCTTCTGTCAGAGAAGGTGTGTACCCCCAGCTCAGAAAGGGATTGGAGTTTTGCAGTGTCTGAATGGCTGTACTTGTCCCCTGCACTAGGCCTTTCAGTATAGCTCTGGCTTAGAACTGAGGAATTTAGGTCAGCAGACAAGACACCTATACCTCGGGTAGGGCCAACATTTCCTCAGCTGTGTGGTGCCCTGGGGCTTAATGGCATATGACCTGAAGAAAGTTGGACTATAGTGGGACCCAGTTGAGCCTCCTTTGAGCTTAGCTTTCTTCTCTTTCAGTTCTGGATCTCCCCAAAGAGCTGTCAGAAATCTTTGACCCCACACGAGGTAGGCTGTGTTTCTCCTTTGGAATGGATGTAGGGAGTAAGGAACATAATTTTGAGTTCCCTTCTCAGGATTGTATTGTGCTGGGTATCTCAGAAAAAGGGTGAAGCTCCTAATGGGTGTGCATGTGGGTCTCATTTATGGGTTTTGGTGGATGAAGGGGTGAGCCAGAATCTGAGTGAATTGTGTTCATTCCCAGAGTGCATGAGCTCTGAGCTGCTGGAAGAATTGATGTCTTCAGAAGGTGGGTAGCCCAGGAAGGTGGGGAGAGCTTTGAACAGGGAATGGGTGCCTGCTGGGGGTTTTGGCTTGACTCCTCAGCCTAATGCTCTCTGCAGTGTTTGCCCCCCTTCTTCGACTTTCTCCACCCCCGGGAGACCACGATTACATCTACAACCTGGACGAGAGTGAAGGTGTCTGTGATCTCTTTGATGTTCCTGTTCTCAACCTCTGACCACAGGGACATGTCCTGTGCAGCTGCAACCCAGACTGTCTTGATTAGGAGCCAACTAGGGACTGCCCCCAACCCCCACTCCCACCCGCAGCTTGAGAGACCCTAACTCTTGGCTTACTCAGCCTTCCCCAGATGCTCAGTTCTGGCCATGCTACCCTGTCTTGCACTGGCACTTGTACTGTGCTAGCAGAACAGGGGCGAGAGCTTAGCCCTCGCTACATAGAGCCCAAAGTGTTTGCCTTTTCTTTTCTGAAGCCTTCCCCAGCCAGGCTCAGCTGCCACCTAGTGGCACATCTGCCCTGTTTCTCCCAGCCACTCTTCTAGGGAGGGAAAGGGGGTGGGGCTGGGTAGTTGCCACCTGCTCACCCTGCAGCTTTGTGTGTCCCCTTTCTGCTATGCCCTCATCCCTTCTTCGAACTGGTGGAGGGGGTTAATAAGAAGGAATTGATATGTCTAATTAGGAATCTGGGTGGGCTGGTCCCTGAAGAGTGGCCCAACTTCCTGATACCCCATACTCACTCCCCTCACTTCCGTTTATTCACTTACCCTCATTTAGAGCCATTTGCAGAGATTTAGAAAGATTTACATTAACGAATGGATTCCTATATAAAGATTATTTTTATACTTTTTTCAGCAAAAGGAAATTGTAATATTTGTACAGCCTCCAAGTGAATAAAGACATGCCTAAGGCGATCTCTGGTCTGGTTCTTTGGGGCCCCTCCCTGGGACTGGGTGGGTCACCTTACTGGAATGGGAGGTGTGGCTGCTGTGTAGGATGCCTGTCTTCCCATTCTCCACCGGCTGGCTGCACCTTGGCGTGGGGCGGGGCCAAGCTTTCTCAGTGGGGCGGAACGGGTCAGGGCAGGCTGCGTCCTATCCTCCTACCCCTGAGATTAACCCGGAACTAACAGGTTCCTTTGGGAAGGCCTCGGAGCCGGATAAGGAGTGGGACTTGAACTGTGAGTGCAAGCCCCCGAGCCAGGCTTTAGACAGGGAGATCCTCCTAGTCCCCAGACGAGGTGTATCCTCGGCAGGAGGTAGCACGTTTGTGCAAAGCGTCGGCAGCCACAGCAGCAGAACTATGGCGCCCCCGAGGAACGTGGTGAAGATCGCCGTTCAGAAGGCTGACGCCATCCCACAGCTTATCCAGCTAGACCAGGTCAATGGGACTGTCCGAACTCCGCCTCCCACTCTGGGTTGTTCCTCTTTCCTCGGGTCAGCCCAGCCTACCCCTTAAAAGTCCCTCTTTCTAACTCCCTACCCTAGCACCTTGAGTGACAACTCCACTTGCAGGCAAAGCCCCTGGCCACTGTGCTGAAGGAGGTGTGCGACGCGTAAGTGCCTGCCGTGCTGCAGGCGGGCAAAAGTGGGGGTGGGGGAAGGACAGGCGACTCTGGACTTCCTTCGCTGAGCTTCCTGCCCCACAGGTGGAACTTGCCTCACTCCGAGAGCTATGCCCTAAAGTTTGCTGATGGGCACAAGAGATACATCACCGAGAATGTGAGCCCCCCCTCCCAGCCCCACACTGCACAGGGTCCCTTTAACCCACCTGGCTTTGATCCAATATATTTACTCCCCCTGCTCTGAATGAGAGTTCGTTCACTAACCCCAAATAGATGATGCAGCTGACCATTTCCCAGAACCCTCTCTAACTTCACTCCTTTCTGCTGTTTCCTCCAGAACCGCATGGAGATCAAGAATGGAAGCATCCTGTGCCTCAGCATTGCCCCAGTAATGCCTCTTTCTGCCCTTTCCTCTCCTCCCCTCTGTTGGGTCCCTTTGCTGCCTAGTGTGGCCTCTGTTGTGGGTCTGGAGGCCCCAGCTCCTTAGTGCCCCACCTAGTGGACACCCAGGCCATCACACTTCCAGTTCCAGTAACATCTTATCTAACCACTCCATCTTTCCTCTACTGCTGCTAGGACCTGGAGGCGCAGCAAGTGCTGGGCGGGCTGCAGAGTACAAGTCGTGAAGGGTGCTACCGGGCCCTGAAAAACCTGGTTCCTCTGGCCTCAGACATGACCTTTGCCCAGGAGGTCATCAGCCGTGATGGGCTTCAGAGACTAAGCACCATCATTGAAAACGGGGATGAGTGAGCATAGGGGCATCTGTGGTGGACAGGGGACACAGCAGGGCTTGGGAATCTTGGTCTGATCCTACTCATCCCCAGATATTCTCTGTAGTCTAGGGGAGATGCTGGCCCTTGGTCTAATGGCATTCTTGGAGCTCATGGAACACGGTGTTGTATCCTGGGAGACACTCAGCATGCCCTTTGTCAGGAAGGTGTGTGTTCTCTTCCAGGAGCAGTGGAACAGTGCCCATATCTAGCCTTCATGAATGGTAATGACAGCCTCTATCCCTTACAGGTGGTATCTTATGTGAACATGAACCTGATGGATGCCTCTGTGCAGCCCTTGGCCCTCAGGCTGCTGGAGAGCGTGACTTTGGGCAGCCCTGCCCTGGGCCAGCTGGTGAAGAGTGAGGTGCCACTGGATAGGCTGCTGGTGCACCTGCAGGTGTAAGCCTCTAGGGTACAGTATGAACAGGGGAAGCAGAATTGGACTCCAGATGTACAGTTCAGCCTGCCCCTCTTCTTGCCATAGAATGAACCAACAGCTGCAAACCAAGGCTATGGCGCTGCTGACAGCCCTGCTGCAGGGGGCCAGCACTGCTGAACGTAAGGTGAGTGTTCTGTCCAGGGTGACTGAATGAAGAACAGCAGGGGCAGGGAGAAGGGGTGCTGCGCTCCAGCTAGGCAAAATCATCTAAACCCCCTTCTCACCAATTGCAGCACATGCTTGACTACCTATGGCAGAGGAATCTTCGCCAGTTCATCTACAAGGTAGCATGGACCAGGTCAGGGAGGCCCTCTCCCAGGTCCTTCTTTCCCAGTAATCTTACTCAAGCCTGGATGTCTTCCAGAATATCATCCACAGTGCAGCACCCATGGGTGATGAGATGGCTCACCACTTGTATGTGCTTCAGGCTCTTACACTGGGATTGCTGGAGCCACGCATGCGGACACCACTTGACCCCTACAGCCAGGTACATAGGGGTGCAAAGGCTGGAGGGTTACCTACAATTATGTTTTGAATCTATGATCTTGACATGCTCCTCCTCATTGACTTCAGGAACAGCGGGAGCAACTACAGGCCCTGCGCCAGGCAGCCTTTGAACCAGAGGGGGAGTCCATGGGCACAGGACTGAGTGCTGACCGCCGTCGTTCTCTCTGTGTTCGAGAGTTCCGAAAGCTAGGCTTTTCTGTGAGTGACCCCTACCTTAGTTCCACCCAAACCTCAACCCAGGCTACGGTTATTATAGGACTGTGGCCCTTCCTGAGCTGCCTGCACTCCCATCTCTAGAACAGCAACCCAGCCCAGGACCTGGAGCGTGTGCCCCCTGGTCTGCTGGCCCTGGACAACATGCTCTACTTCTCCAGACACGCACCTAGTGCATACAGTCGGGTTAGTAAGAGTGGGGCAAGGGGGATGGCAGCAGCTCGTTTCATCAGGGGTTCCACAGAGATCCTGTTGCCACTCTCCATTCCCACTGCCTTAGTTTGTGCTGGAGAACAGTAGCCGAGAGGATAAGCATGAATGTCCCTTTGCCAAGAGCAGCATCCAGCTGACAGTGTTGCTGTGTGAGCTGCTTCATGTTGGGGAGCCTTGTGAGTTGAGCTAAATCCAGTGTATTTGGAGTCAGGGGACGGAAGGGCAGAGAGGGCCAGGGGCTGTAGACACTTTCTCCCTGAGCCCCTCCTGCCCCCCCGCTCCAGGCTCCGAGACAGCCCAGGACTTCTCACCCATGTTCTTCAGCCAAGACCATAGTTTCCATGAGCTTTTCTGTGTGGCTATCCAGCTGCTGAATAAAACCTGGAAGGAAATGCGGGCAACACAGGAGGATTTTGACAAGGTGGGTGGAGTGGAAGCGGCAAGGCCACAGGGCGGGCGCCTCTGGAAAGGGGTCGTGAACACAGGTCCTACATTTGGGTGGTCCCAGGTAATGCAGGTGGTACGGGAGCAGCTAGCCCGGACGCTGGCTCTGAAGCCCACCTCCCTGGAGCTCTTCCCCACCAAAGTGAACGCTCTCACCTATGGGGAAGTGTTGAGGCTGCGGCAGACGGAACGGTTGCACCAGGAGGGCACTTTGGCCCCTCCTATACTGTGAGTTGGTAGGGTTCTGCAGTCTCAATCCCCACCTGCCCCAGTGCACCAGGTAAGCCCTGGATAATTACCCCCACTCTCCATCCAGTGAGTTGCGGGAGAAGCTGAAGCCAGAGCTTCTGGGCCTAATTCGACAGCAGCGTTTGCTCCGACTCTGTGAGGGAATGCTCTTCCGCAAGATCAGCAGCCGGAGACGCCAGGGTCTCTGAATGGGCTAAAGGTGTTGTGTGGGGGGGAGGGTGTTTGGGTTCAGAGCCCCTCTCATCACTCCTCTCTAACCCTTTCGGTAGACAAGCTGTGGTTCTGCTGTTTATCTCCCAACCACAAAGTGCTGCAGTATGGGGATGTGGAGGAGGGTGCCAACCCACCCACCTTAGAGAGTCTACCTGAACAACGTAAGGAGGGCAGGGCTTGGGCTCCTCCACCTGTTTTTCCCTCTCCCAGATGCCCCATATCTTGGGTCAGCCTTAGGGCACAGTAGTCAGCCAAATCTTCTTTCTGCAGTCCCTGTGGCAGACATCAGGGCACTCCTAATGGGCAAGGACTGCCCCCATGTCCGGGAGAAGGGCTCTGGGAAGCAGAACAAGGTGACTGTGGTAGGGTCAGAGGTTCCGCCCTTCCTACCCATCTCTGCCTGTTCCCTACTCAGTGTTCTTGCTCTCACTTTCCTAGGACCTCTATGAGTTGGCTTTCTCCATCAGCTATGACCATGGGGAAGAAGAAGCATACCTCAACTTCATTGCTCCTTCCAAACGGGATGTAAGTTTCTAGGCTTGACTGTTGGTAGATGGGGCAAGGGGAGAAGATAAGTAGACCCTCATAGAGTTGGCCCTGTCCATCCCTAGTTCTACCTGTGGACAGATGGGCTGAGTGCCCTGCTGGGCAGCACCATGGGCAGTGAGCAGACTCGGCTAGACCTGGAGCAGCTGCTTACTATGGAGACCAAGTTGCGGCTGTTGGAACTGGAGAATGTGCCCATTCCCGAGCAGCCTCCCCCAGTACCCCCACCCCCTACCAACTTTAACTTCTGCTATGACTTCAGCATCATTGAGCCTTGACTGAAGTTGGCTATGGGTGACAGCTGGTGTTTCTGGAGCAACCATAAAGAGGGGTAAAAAGCATAGACAACCTGACTAACAGAGCCTCCAGCAGAAATAAAGTTAGATTGGCTTGTAGGTATGTGTCAAATCAGCTCTGAACCTGTGGGCTAAGCCTGGTGATAAACATGGACATGTCTTCAAACATAGTAAATGATGTAAAGGCACCAGGTAAGACCACACACTTGGACAGCTAGCTACCTTTGGAAGGCTGGTGTTGGGTGGAGACAGGTAGTGACTATTGCCCTTCTTGAAATAAGTCCTTAGCGTCCTCAGTTCTGACATGAAGAGAGGGATGAGGTAGCAGCCAAAGATGAGATTGGAATGTTGGCCAACTAACAAGAGAAGTAGCAGGGGAGCATATATTGCCCCAGATTAATACCTTCCTGGGCATCAGCAACAGGGATCTCTCTCAGAAGGTTCCTGATAGTCTGCCCTCATTTCTCAACCTTGCCCTTGTCCTCCACGGGATGCAGAAACCTCTAATGAGAGGCACAAGGGAGAGATGCAAAGCTGAAGAGAAGGCTGTTAGCTCCAAAGGGGTAGATTGGCACAGGAGAATTTCACTCTAACCGTGATCGTATGTGAGGTGGTGATCACAGACAAGCCAGAATCTGGGGGCAGAAGTGCTGAGACATAGTAGGTCCAGTTGGAGGCAACAGTCACAAACTCCAAAAGCCCCTAAGACAAATAATTCAGCAATCCAGGACCCCACAGGGTAGGCTGAAAGCTACCACTACCCTAACTTTTACATACCATTCATTACTCCTCAAATACTGTGTTTAACATGCTATTCATCAATGTTGTGCCTTAAAATTGATTAAAAGTCATTTCCTTTGGAGAAAGTACTAACAAAACACTTGACCCTACAAAAACAAAAAACAAAACAGCAGCAACAAAAAAACAACCCAACTACAATTCTAATCTTCAGAGTGTCCATTCCTGGACACAGAGCCTTGCTACTACACTCAGAACAAACTTTTGAGTTTATGTTGGAAACACAGGGTAGGGGTCCCAGTTGCATTTAGTGTCCCAATACAGTCAATTCTCAGTATTGCCAGTTACTTGTCCATGCCACCACCATCTTGGCAATAACCCCCTGACTTCTGGCTTCTAGTCATGCTCCTCTAGTCATTTCAATAGCTGCCACTTCAACATTGCAAATTCAATGTGGTTATATACGCATACATACACCCTGTGGTGGTCTGATTGAGAATGGCCCCATAGGCTCATAGATTTGAATGTTTGGTCCCATTTAGTGAAACTGATTGGGAAGGATTAGGAGGTGTAGCCTTTTTGAAGGAGGTATGCACTGGGAATGGGCTTTGAGGTTTCAAAAGGCCCTCTCTCTGCCTGCTGCTTATGGATCAGAATGTAAGTAAGATCTTAGCTACTGTGCTGGCATCGTGTCTGCTTGTCACCATACTCCCCACCATGACAGTCATGGCCTAATCCTCTGTATCTATCTGTAAGCAAGCTCCCAATTAAATACCGTCCTTTATAAGTGCCTTGGTCATAGCATTTCATCACAGTAATAGAACAGTAATTAAGACACATCCTATACTGTTCAATATCTCACTATTCTATTACCATGGTCACCATGATTGAGTACTGAATTGAGCTTGTAAGTTCCATCAACATGTTTTAGTTCCTGTTGCCATGCTAGCATCCTCCCTGTATCCCATTGGGGCCTACAACATCCCTCCATACCAGAACCAGCCCCAGTCTGCCCATCTGACCTCTATGCCCCCTTCTGCCATGTTCACTGCCTTGATGCCTTCCTTGACCACCCTCTAAGTTCATTGCTGCCCTAGGTTCCTTGCCCCAGGTGCAAATTCTCTGTTCATGCATCTCCTGCATACCAGGCTGTCCCTTTGTACTGGCTTATTTGCCTCCCTACCAAGTTTTATGATTGGGAGCAATCTAAATTCCAGCATGAAGCACAGTGGCTTCAGGTACTCAGCATAGGCTAGCTGCTTCCAGAACTGATAAACAGATGGACCAAGTATGGGGACTGGAGAGACTACTTCAGAGCTGCTTTTGTGAAGTCACTGGCATTGTTCAGAGGGTTTGGACTATATGACCACTTATGACCCTCCTACTAGAGATGCTGTCTTACTTCTTACCCCACCCCAAGACAGAACATAAATCTGGTAAACAGTTGCTTCCGAGTCTGGTTAGGATCAGTGCCTTTGCAGCAGGGCATGTCCAGAAGGGTTGTGCTGGGAAAGGCCTCCAAAATCTCCCATGTGGAGAAAGCCAGGGCTCAATTAGGGGGAGGTTCTTTTCATTAACTGGATGGAGGAGGGAGAGCCTCTTTAGTCTGAGAACATTAGAGAAAACATAAAATCTGGAATTTTTAATCTTGTTGGGTTTACAATGAAGTCAGTGGATTGACTGCTAAAGCTCAGGAGAGTTAGAAGAAACCCCTAGGGAACAGGCAGAACAAAGGCTTTAGGTCTGAGTAGTAGGCTGGCAGCGTTTGGCCTTCCTCAGCACCAGGCCCAGCTCCCCTGTAGGTCTGACCTCTAGAGCGGGGCCCATGGCAGCAACATGTAACTGGTAGAGATTGCTGCCATCTTTGGGGTACACTGGAGCTGTAAGTATCCTGGATTGGTTCCATCCTGAGTCTTAGAAAAGGTTCTAGAGCAGGGGAAGGTAGGAGGTACTGGGGCAAAATCAGGTCCAGAGGCCTGGGCTAGGGCTATACTGGTCAAGGAAGATAAACTTCAGAGATAGTTACTGACCTGGCCTCAAAGTGTTAGGGTCAGGTCAGCCCCTCCCACGAAGCGAGACTGGATGCAGGTCACCTGGGGCAGCTGTGCTTGAAACTGCCTGACGGCTGCCATGTTGATACCAGGACACATGGCCACATCCAATACTCGAAGCTGCTTGCATGTCTGCCCAATGGTATCCAGAGTTCTGCAAGGAGGCCATGGGATGACTACTGCCTGAACTGGTGTAAGACCCAAGCCCAGCCCATGCATTGTGGCTCAATGCAATGCCACCAAACACTCACTGCTCTGTGAGCTGACTGCAGCTGGACAGGTTGAGGTGTTTTAGCCTTGGCCAGAACCTGGCTGCCTGGGCCCATCCCTCATCACTGAGGTGGCTGCAGTGACTTAATGCCAAGCGCTCCAAGCTGGGACAGCCCCTAGCCACAGCTGCCAAGCCCATGTCTGTGAGTGCTGGCAACAGGCTCAATGATAACTGCCTCAGCTGAGGGAATTGGAGCACCTGCAAGAAGAGGGATAAAAAAAATGGCACTGGAACTCACAGCCTGGGCCCCTTCCAGGTTCCTTGGTTCTATCAGAAATCAAAGAGAAATGGAGTCAAGGAATAAAGTGGGTTGGCCCAATCCCCTAGCCCAGTCCCAACGTCCTCAGCTTATTCACACCTTGGCCAAACTGGCATCAGTCAGCTTGCTGCAGGCTGTGAGGTCCAATTCCTGCAGGCCCTGAAGCATGAGCAGGGAGGGGCCCTGTGGCTCAGAATTAGGCTCTTGAGGGTCTGGGGCCTGATTTTCCACCTCTTGGTGTAGCTGTGGGAAGAAGAAACCCCTGCTTCTCAGGTTCTTCATATGTTTTTGCTTAAGATTCGGTGCAGAGGGCACCAGAGGCCAAGGTCATCTCACCCTAATTTCAAGGATCTCATACCTGGGGACTTAGCATAGGCTCCTCACTTGGATCTTTCAGCCCCAAAAGCCCCCAGTCCTGGAGCTCCTTGCACCAAGCCAGGCGCAGTACTGACAGGTGAATAAGGTAGGTGCAGATGGCCTTCATGGTCTGGTTAGTGAGGGCCACACAGGAAGACAAGTCTAGCACTTTGAGGCTTGGGCCCAGTGCTGGGATCATGGTGAGCACAGAGGCATCCTAGGAGGACAAAAGAAAAGGAGCAGCAGCTTGTGCCTCCAGGCTTGGCAGGGGCCATCAGCAAGGATCTGAATGACAGCAACATGGTTGCTGTGTTGGTTGTGAAGGTTTGGAGTGAACAGGGTGGGCTATGAGGGTGGGAGACCTAGAGGAGGTTGCTGAAAGACACAAAGATCAAGACTACTACATGTGGTACAAGCAAGGATGTTGGTAGATATTTCCAAGGCAACTGCTATGCCTGTGCTCTCAGCCCTGTTGGAAAGATGACTGAAGCAACACTGACCACAGCCCACGGGGCCAGGAGCTCACAGATGAACCAATCAGATGTGCTTCCTCTAGATTTGAACCTGAAGCGTTAGGGCCGCCACCACCATGAGAAGCTGAGGGGGGGGTAGGTGATAAAAACAGAGCAGACAATCTGGATGTAGATTCAGGGGGAGCTATGGAGGCATGAGGACTGTCTTGATACAGCTGCTAAGAGACACCGGTTGCCAAGGAATTGTTAAGGGAGGAGTGCTTGCCGTAAAATGAAATTGAGATAGGTTTTAGGTTTGCAATGCTCTTGTCATAGTAATAGGTTAAAGGGATAACCCCACCTAAGAGGGACCAACTGACATTTTCAGACAGGAATGCCACCCATATGGACAATGCTGAGCCCTATGAAGGACTTGACTTCAGCCAAGAGGTGATCTTAAGGCTCCCAAGTGACCCACCCCAAGGCTCTGCCTACTGAATATCTTCTTTAGTGCAATGCAATAGAAAACCTTCTACTAGTTGTTTTTTGTTTTTATTGTTTTGTTTTTTGTTTTTTGTTTTGTTTTGTTTTTTTTTCTAGACAGGGCTTCTCTGTGTAGCCCTCCCTTGATCTCATAGATCTGCCTGCCTCTGAGATAAGAGGTGTGCACTACCATGCTTGCCAAGTTTTTCTTTCTTTCATTTTTGTTTTTTTCTTTTGGTTTTGGATGTCCTAGAACTCACTCTGTAGACTCACAGAGATCCGCCTGCCTCTGCCCCAAGTGCTGGGATTAATGGTTTGCACCACTCCTTCTGTCGCATTTTCTAACACTGCTTTTCTCTAGCCTTCCTCCCTCCCTCCAGAGCTCACTCGCAGTGTAGGATCATTTCATGAATCAGGCCAGTGAGAACAGTAGAGGCATGTGCCACTGTATCATCTATCTAAGCTGCTGTTCCCTTCTAGACCACATTCCAAATTCATTTCTAACTACAAATCCTGGGACACAAACACTGGTTAGGCCTTCCCTGAGGCCATAGGTCCAGCTCCCCCAGGTATCCTGGACAGGAAGGGGGGTAAAGTAACTTACCTTCAGTGAAGAGCAGTAAGCCAGCCTGAGGGAAGTCAGTGCAGGTGGAGCTCTGTGAACTGAGCCTAGGACCTGGGCCAGTTCCCGACCGCTCACCAGACAGCACTCAGCCATGTCCAGGCTCTGCAATTCATGTAGGGACCCCAGGGCTGTACAACCTGCATCAGTCAGTCGCTGCAGTTTCCTCAGACTCAAGTGCCGCAGGTGTTGTAGGCCTCGGCTCACAGCCAAAAGTGCCCTGTCAGTCAGTTCTGAGCAGCCACTGAGGTCCAGGGAAGTAAGGCCAGGCTGCTGGCGGCACAGGGTGGCCACAGCCTCTGAAGAGAGGTCTCTACAGCTGTGCAAGCTCAGCTCCTCCAGCTGCAGTCCAGTCACTTGGCCCAGGGCTTGTAGGGCTTCAGGTGGCAAGCCAGTACCACTGAGGTCTAGAGCACGCAGCCTACCAGCTCGCTCTTTGACGAACTGTAGTAGGTTGTGGAAGGAAAGCTGGGAGGGAGAGGTTTCCTGGGGGCTAATGGAGCCCCAGGTTGGGCCTAACTCAAAGGTAATATGGCAGTAGGCCAAGGAGAGGCGCTCCAGACTGGGAAAACAACTGCTGAGATGATTGAAGCTGAGGTCAGTCAGGTCACGCAGGCCAGCTAGGTTAAGATCACGAAGGCCACTCAATGCCTTTCGGACACACTGCGCTGTCTCAGGCTGAGCCAGCAGAGTGCCTGATGTAAAGAGACTGTTGCAGCCGCTGAGATCAAGGGTGCGCAGGACTGGGCATCCCAGGATCAGGGCCAAGAAGGATGCCTCTGTGGGGCTGCCCCCACCCAGGCATAAGCTTTCCAGGTGTGGGCCTAAGTGGTAGGCAACAGACTGTAGTACCTGGTGCGAAGCTGGTGAGCCATCCAGATTGGTCAAGCTGATGCATGAAATGCCCCTGAGGCCCAAGTTCTTGATGGCCGAGAGTGAGGCAGAGGACACAGGAATGTTGTACCGCACATTTGTCTATAGGGTAGCAGCAGGCCTGAGGTTAGATTTCTCAGAGTTTGAAGACAGTCAAGAAAGGCCCTTCTATAATGAGCAACCATCCCTAGTGTGTGTGTCATGTGTAGCTGAGGAGGATGTAGGCAGGAAGTGGGAGCTGGGAAGAGAAACAAAGTGGGAAGCAGGAAGACAAATCATGCTGGAATTTGGAAGGAAATGACTATTGGGCCGGCAGGAAGGTGAGTTAAGGACAATACTAGATGCTGACAGAGGGGCAAGGATAGAGTGGGGAGTTAGCAAACTGAACATAGGAGGGCTGTGACCTACATATAGGACCC